ATGGATGAAAAGGAGCTCGTTGACTAGAGAGGCCGCGCCGTCATCAACATGGTCTAAGTCCTCAGCCGAGAGTTGTTCGTGAACAAGTCTTTTCCAAATGCCTGAGGGAAAATCAAATGGGAGCGCCACCTATACACAGCTGTGAGCTTCAAAGGGTCCTACGTCACACCTTGCATCTAAGAGCAATGCCCATAAGCTGTCCAATAAAAGAATACATGTTCAAGGGGGTGTCAGAAATCATCTTCGGATTGACAATGAATCTGTCGTCTTCGTGTGTGGGCAGTAGAAGTGGGAGTGCACACTTCGAAACACCTTTGGATGTGTTGATCATTTGTAGCTCAGATGGCGCCTGAGCAAAGACTTCGCGGTAAGGTCCCCCATAATCGTCTACACCCTCTCCCTCAAACTTGACTTTGAAGGTGCGCTCTTGCCCGTCGTCCATGGGATGAGTATATCCCATTCGCAGCGATACCGGCCTCAAAAAATGTAGTTCGTTGAATAGTTGACCGAAGAGCGATGAAGATAAGCGACCCTGTGGAAGCATGTTGTAACTTGAGCCGTCACACACTGTTAACTTGCCTCCTGATTAATCATCGCTGGGGAGGTTGTCGCCTTCAAGCGGTTGATTACAATTTGAGGGAGATCTTCAGGGTAATCATAGTCATCTTCCGCTCGTTTTGCACGCGTCATGGTATGTGTTGCAAAAAGCCGGAACAATTTATGCTTTGTATCACCGAATATCGATCCCCGAAGTAGAGTCACCTTGGAGCGGTATCGCCCGCGGCTGACATGCGGACACAACCCGCTTATCATTGCGCTTTGCTTGCGACAATTTTGTTGATGGTGATCATGTGTGTTTACCAAAAAAGGGAACCCGCGTAGAAGGTCTTCGTTGAACATGAGGATGAGAGACACTCGACAGGCTGCAGATTCGTGAGTTGGCTGCAAGACTCCACTGTATAACCCAGTGTCATCTAAGTGGGCGATCAGAGTAGGCGCATCAAGATTCCATGCACACGTCTCATGCAACTCCGATGCTGCATCAATACTTTGAACAATATGTTTGTTCACTTCAGCGCCTTGAGACAGTGCCCTTACGTGGCGATGAAAATGAGCAAATGTCATACCGTCGATGCACCTCGTATATGTGTGCAATCCAACTGATTTCTTTTCCTTGTTAGGGAGTCCCGGATTCACAGCCCGAAAATATCCACGCAAAGCATTCTGACGAACAGTTGCATACGTAAAAAACCAGGCCCCATTGTTCACTCCAAAATCAAACCAGAGTAATCCAAAGGCATCGCCGAGAACACAGGCATTCCCGCGTGGTGTAGAGACGTATTGGCCAACTGATAGATTCGCGCAGTCTGCTTCTCGTTTCACCTGCATCTCAGGTCCACAGCAGGACTTAACTCGATAATAGCAGCCCCGCAGCCATGACTGGCAGTACCTATATGCCCGATTGAGGCTTCGACCTGTGAGAGGTTCTCTCCCAAGCATAGCAGACATCAAATCGAGAACATCTGACGATTGATCAAAATTGAAGG